ATCACAAGTCACAACTCACCACGATCAATCAATCAATCAATCAATCAATAATCCTTTCCGCTTCCTCTCTCTTCCTCTCCATCATGGATTCGTCATCGTCATCGTCATCGTCATCGTCTTCAGTACAAATCCGTCCGAATATACAGTCCGTGGAAACTACAATGCAATTAACTGACAAGTAGAAGAACACTAATTCACATTGCAACAACAACACCATCATCTCTACACTCACCGTAATCACATCTCGAATAACTCACTTCATTGTATGCCGACTGCATCACCCACTACTTCACACAACACAACACACTCACATTCATTATTTATTCACTTACTCACTCATCCACATAGAGATTCCATTGACCATAGAAAACTGCCTCCAACCGTCTCACATCCATATCAGCCAGCTGTGTGCACACTGCACACTGCACAACAACAACAACAACAACAACAACAACTTCAAACTAACCGATATTCCTACGCCCAATATTCCTTTCTTCACTGTCGACAGACAATCCATTCTCATCCATGTTCAATTACAATGATACCAATGCAATATACATTCCACTTCTCTTCACTCCACTCCATCTCATATGTCACATCTACAAACTAAGAGAATTCAACACACAAGAAAATACCACATTTATCACAACAATGCTGCTGCTGCTGCTGCTGCTGCTGCAGCGACACTTACTACTTACTCGCTTCAATGCTTATTCACTCACTTCACTCACTACTCACAAACGAACCCACGTACTGCATCTCTCCTGTCAAAGCATGAACACAGGTCAAAGCTTACTTGTTGATCAACCGGCATACACTGAACACAACACATTCTCACCAAATACTACACACATTCCATTTCCTACAATCATCAAACACACCACTGATTCCATGATCGCTCCTTTCCAAATCACCTATCATGCACAGCTCGCCGCCTTCTTCTCTAACACTATCACTACAAAGAAATAACCAGACATTTGCATAGTCAACAATTAACAACAATATCCTAACTAGTCACTCAGTTACCCAGCACTGACACTATCATCACCAACTCCAAATTCATTTCCAAATCCAACGGATCACAGCTGCGTCATTCTTCCTCTAACCGATACTAGCGCCTAGAACACAATTCACACTCGTCTGAAACGAGAAATAAACACTGAGACAACTAATACCCTACACTACACACCATCATCTATTATATCATAAAACACCAACATTTCTGACATACCTGATTCCTTCTTCGCATAACACACAGAAATCCAATGCCTCTACACCAAACACGACAATTCAACGCCGACTCCTTCCATTTCTCCCTCACCATCACAACACCCACCACTCACTATCCAGATGACAACCTAAATCTGACTCCTGTAGTAAATATGCACACAGAGAAAACATTCCACAATCCTCAGTCACATATAGGCATTCACTTACTCATATCACAAGTCACAACTCACCACGATCAATCAATCAATCAATCAATCAATAATCCTTTCCGCTTCCTCTCTCTTCCTCTCCATCATGGATTCGTCATCGTCATCGTCATCGTCATCGTCTTCAGTACAAATCCGTCCGAATATACAGTCCGTGGAAACTACAATGCAATTAACTGACAAGTAGAAGAACACTAATTCACATTGCAACAACAACACCATCATCTCTACACTCACCGTAATCACATCTCGAATAACTCACTTCATTGTATGCCGACTGCATCACCCACTACTTCACACAACACAACACGCTCACATTCATTATTTATTCACTTACTCACTCATCCACATAGAGATTCCATTGACCATAGAAAACTGCCTCCAACCGTCTCACATCCATATCAGCCAGCTGTGTGCACACTGCACACAACAACAACAACAACAACAACAACAACAACTTCAAACTAACCGATATTCCTACGCCCAATATTCCTTTCTTCACTGTCGACAGACAATCCATTCTCATCCATGTTCAATTACAATGATACCAATGCAATATACATTCCACTTCTCTTCACTCCACTCCATCTCATATGTCACATCTACAAACTAAGAGAATTCAACACACAAGAAAATACCACATTTATCACAACAATGCTGCTGCTGCTGCTGCTGCTGCTGCAGCGACACTTACTACTTACTCGCTTCAATGCTTATTCACTCACTTCACTCACTACTCACAAACGAACCCACGTACTGCATCTCTCCTGTCAAAGCATGAACACAGGTCAAAGCTTACTTGTTGATCAACCGGCATACACTGAACACAACACATTCTCACCAAATACTACACACATTCCATTTCCTACAATCATCAAACACACCACTGATTCCATGATCGCTCCTTTCCAAATCACCTATCCTGCACAGCTCGCCGCCTTCTTCTCTAACACTATCACTACAAAGAAATAACCAGACATTTGCATAGTCAACAATTAACAACAATATCCTAACTAGTCACTCAGTTACCCAGCACTGACACTATCATCACCAACTCCAAATTCATTTCCAAATCCAACGGATCTCAGCTGCGTCATTCTTCCTCTAACCGATACTAGCGCCTAGAACACAATTCACACTCGTCTGAAACGAGAAATAAACACTGAGACAACTAATACCCTACACTACACACCATCATCTATTATATCATAAAACACCAACATTTCTGACATACCTGATTCCTTCTTCGCATAACACACAGAAATCCAATGCCTCTACACCAAACACGACAATTCAACGCCGACTCCTTCCATTTCTCCCTCACCATCACAACACCCACCACTCACTATCCAGATGACAACCTAAATCTGACTCCTGTAGTAAATATGCACACAGAGAAAACATTCCACAATCCTCAGTCACATATAGGCATTCACTTACTCATATTACAAGTCACAACCCAGCACGACCAATCAATTCGTTTCGCGTCCTTCCTTAGATATAAATTGTATTGTTTTATCTCGCTGTTCGGTGGTTACTTGAATATGTCGAAACTAGCATCGCATATTCTAAGTTATATGCTCATGTGAATTTTTTTCCGGCTCTGTTGTTTTTGGTTTATTCCCTTATTTTTGTAATTTCTTCTTCGTATAGCCTTATTTTATGTGTGGTCGCGTTATTTGTTCTGTTGTTTACGCATTGTCGACTGGTTCGAAATATATGTTCATGCTTTTTTCTTGTTTGTCGCTCAATACCTAATGATTGGAATTTCCTGAATCGTATTCATCCTGTTACTAAATTTTTTTCGACAGTTATATCACAGTTATCGAACATCAATAGTTTTCTTCCTCAGATTATTAAGCTACCTTAATTTCCGCGTACTTGTTGTATGATTTATGTTATCCCGTTATTGAAGCTTATACACCAGAATACTTAGACTTCATATCTGACCTACGTACAACGCCCTAGACAAAATGTAGTACTTTGGTGTTTCAAGGTGCGATTTCGCTAAATTGATTGAAGACTATTTGAACGAGCCTTTTTCCAGGCCCCCCTAATACGTGTGCTGCTGTTCTTCACATTTGCAGGAACGACGCAAATATCTAACGTTATTTAGTTTTGCGTAGTATGACAGCTTTAAGAATTTTAGAACTGACATGTCGAATCTCCTTTCCAAACGCATTGGTCACTAACCTTACATCCGTTTAAACTTTTCCAAGGCGATCACACCTACGTCCGATATCATTTTAGAAGCATCTGATAAGCCAGTGTGTAGAGTACAAATTGTGGTATCCTAACCCCAACATACCAATCAATATGACACTGCTCAACACCTAAAACCACTAAATTCAGGAGTAACTTAGAGATAGTTTTCTTCGACACGCAGCACCTAAGACCGTTACAGAAGGCATGAGCATATCACCATTGGATGAATTGGGACCACCTTGTTTATCAGTTTCCGTGTCGCACGCAGTCTAAGATTATTGGCTGGAAAAACAATAGTTGGGCAGAATAGGATAAGACAGCTCTCTACAAACTCCTGTCAGACATGCAACAAAGATTTTTGGCACTCAGCAATGGCTAGTATTATTTCTGCAATTCAATTACTCTGGTGGACCTGCGGACAAAATACTCGGCATAACTGCGAAACCGACGACCCTGTATTCAGAAATTGATTATTATCATAATTATCATAGTTAGGATACATAACTAACTAGAACTCATAAAATAATTTGTTAGAAAAAGGGACAGATATAACAGTCAAGAATCTTACAGGACACACTGGTAAAATGGACCAACTTCCAAACGAAGTGCATGACCATTCCTATTATCCCGATCTTTTTTAGCTGTGAATGATAAAATTAATAAAAATTGTGGTAACAGTTAGTTGATGCATTTTACTGGTCGATGTGCTTACGAAAAGTCCAACCAACCTTGTGAAAAACCATAAGGCGCCGCATTGACCTGTTTAGCTGAGTTAGAACATGTCCCAGAATACTGACTTTAGTGATACCTACTTCCAGTGTCCTGAATACATCTTACGATGATGATCTAATGACACCTAAGAAATAAACAAATTTGTTAAGATCGAAATATCAGCATTTGCAATCAACTTAGCAGTTAACTCACATTATTGCTGGAATGATTTTCTGAGTCCTTTAGAATGTCTTGATAGCGGTTAAAGTGTTAGGACCTTTCAGATTTTTACCAAAAGTTTTATTACGTGTATTTTCAACCCACAGGATACTGCAGTCAATGATACTTATCTCATAAATTGACTGGCAAATTTTGTCATGTCACTGAAAACAGTACTTATGAATTAAACCTACATTAAGAAATTAACTTTAATGATTTCAAGAGCAAAGTCAAGTAAAAAGATACCTCGTTCCAATGTACAGGAGCGCGAGCACTAGATATCTATTTTAGAAAGAAGAACATAAAGGTTTGTAGATATATTATTAATGAATAAAAAGTAGAATACATAACAAAAATGATGCACGCAAAATTGGTATGAAGAGTTCTGTCGTCAACGTAGTCCCAGTTGCACCAAGATGTGGTCATCTCTTAAATCCGTATTTTCCTCAATACGTGGAACAAGCGAGTGAGATCCGAGAACAGTGATGTCTGCCAGGATGGTGAACCAGTAGGTAGTTCGATTCTGCAAATTATAAATAAAAAAATAACACAATGAGCATAAGCATAAGACACACATGCCCAGCCATTTCTTTCCAGTACTTTTCTGTTGACCATGAATAACAGGATACTTAAACTCGTGCCTAGGAACCCAAAATAAACTCCAAACCGTCATTGTTACCCTGGGCACGTCTATGTTATCGGTTTTTCTATACTAGCAAAAAAATGGGAGACAAATTCAAAATGAGGATACTACCTAACATTCACAATGAAAGTTATCTTCAGTCAAGTAGTCAAGCTACTGAAAACTGTCGTGCGAATGCAAGTATAGGCTTCAGGGAACACCATTGCTGAAGCCTTCAACTTTACTTGACCTCACACAAACCTCCCTGACAGACAAATTTCGACGTAGGCCGAAAAGACACAAGGCATCGCAAGTCGATTACTAGGACCGCTAAGCCGTTGACGGATAAGAAAACCTGAAGTACACATATTCAGTTAGATAGTGGAATCAAGTCCGACTTCATGAGGTAGATCAATCAAGTAATAATTACCACGCACATGACATTAGCTAATTCCTTCGACTTCCGTGTCAGAGAACGTACGAGGGCACCAGACTTTTACAGCGAAATACATGTCACCTGACTACTGACCTCGTCTAATCATGAGGCTCGTTGCCTTAACATGTGATTGCGACCTAAACTCTCTATGCGCTCGAAGTCCGATCAACTGAGAACGCCTTTGTTAGGACTAAAACGGCACTGTCCTTACCAAAAACGGACTGGACCAGTAAGACAAACGTTAACGGGTGAAACCAATGCGTAACGGATCTTAGTGAAGGTATGCATTTAGATCACTGTTAATAGTGGGTTAGCACCTAGGACCGCCAAGGTTGTTTTACATCATTCCAGTGGTTCTAAGCTAGGGTTAACAATATATGGTTGAAAGCCATACTTTCGAAGCCATGGAATTGCTTTATAGAACGACATACGTTTGCAAGTGCGGTATGTTACTGACCATCTGAACCAGAAACTACGAGCAATCTACGTCCCACAAAACTACCAAAATGCAACCGCCAACTAATAATGTAACATACGAACATATAAACACTGTTTATTACTTACCTGGTGTCCGCGCACTTCATAACACAGTGAATCGATAATGTGAACTTCATGCTTAGTAATAAATCACGTAAGACAGCAAGAATAATGACATGCGACGACTCCCAAATCGATTCAGCTATTGTTTCGACAAAACATTTTCTTACACGTATTCACGAAGAAATCATCGACTCCATATCTCACAGTCGTTACTTACCTGCAGAAAAAGGCAGAAGGGAAGTGAAACACCTAATAGGGTGAATTTACGCCAGTGAATAAACAAACCACGCGTTATCGAATTGTAAAAATATTAGCTGAACACATCTAAGCACTTCGGGACGCTACCAGATTTGAAAATCCACATTACAAACCAGTTTGACGACTTACTGCTAATGTCAGTTGCATCCCAGGCCAATAACCCCTTATCTCATTATGTGGTACTTTAGTTATGTACATCATCAAGACACCCATGAGGTTGTTCGGAGTTGCTTTATAACAACAGAGCTGCCAATGTTCTGGATAAGACTCATTTTTAGAATTCAGACCACGTTAGGACAACTCAGCTCAAACATTTTGATTCAGGACGTTACTCGTGGAGCTCATTTGATGACTACGTGCTTTTTTCTCTCTAGTATCAAAATACAACAGTAAAGTACCTCACAAAATGAAGGTAGCAGCGTGGTCTAAAAGCTATTACAACTTGGGGGGTTATTTGTGTAGTTCCTAAACGTAGATCTTATACTGAAGTAAGAGGATAATGTAAGTGCCGTCCAATACCAAGAATCTACTACCCCAACATGCATGTGCCTTACTGGTATTATAACAAATAGGAGAGATAGACTTACACCAGAAAAAGTTAACATCATCAACAGAACCAATGAGCCACCATTGCTGGACAGACCTACGCAGGAAGTGAGATCAAAGATGGTCGAACGTTTCAAACAACTTTCAACATATCCAATATCTTTTTCCCGATCTAATATAAACCAATCGACTTCTTTGCTCTCGATTCACATCACACATATAAAAATGTAGAAACTTCAATGTAGATTCTGTAAGTGAAGGAAAGTAGATAGCTGACAACGTCGAAGAAACGCGTTACATATCAGTCGGGTGGAGCTAAAGACTAGAAATAGATTCCAGGTCTCCTGCTTTTCGAAATCCGTCTCATGGAATTTCTGGGGCTGTTTCAAACATCAGAATTATTAACAGACGATGAAAGTGATTCAAAGTTCCGAACAAATTAAAATGAGATAGTCTTTTGGTCCGAAAGTTAGCAACCAACTCTGTCGTTAAAAGAACAATCAGGTGGGAATCATGTGTATCGTCTTTTGATCAATAAGTATGCTTCTTCCTGAATCTGGTTTGCTCTGTCCCACAGCAGATTGGTGCTGATGGTGACCTGCACCTTGTGGATCATGGTTTATGTAGTTCTCCAAGGTTCCGCTCAATACAGTAGAATTATTTTGATATTTGTACTGAAAATTGTGACTTTGGTGTTTTTCTTGAGTATTGTTTTGAGTTCCGGATATTGCTTACTTGCACAAACGCTACTCTTGCTTTACCGATCCGCGCCTTCACATTTGCATCAGATCTACCTTGCTCATCAGTGATGTTGCTTGGATGTGTAAAGGTTTCCACATCGTCCAAAGCTTCTTCATTAAGTGTGATTCCGTTGGTGCTTGTTGTATTGTATCGGAGAATCGTTGTTTTCCCATTGTGTCTGTTAAGACCTGCTGCTGGGGGGCTGCAACACTGGTCGTCTTATCCTGCATTTGTGGTCGCGTGCAAAATAGAAAAGTAGTATGATCTATGAGGTCCAGGTCATCCGGCTGCATCTTAGCTATCCATTGCATCCTGTGTCCCCCCTCAAGATGTTGAAGTTCTTACAATCCAGTCAATCACCGGAAGAAAGAGAAAGGGTGAGAGTAGACAACCTCGCCTAACACCAGTCTTGATTTCGAACGAGTGTGTAAGCTGTCCTTATAAATTGAAAACAGAGTTTTGATTTAGTAATAACGGTTCAGGAAGTGTAGATACGCGCCTTGTCCAGTTAAATTCCAGAAAAGCGATTGACTTGGGTAAGTAACAGTTCAGTTATTCATCATAAGTACAAATAAATTACTAGCTAAACAATATTACAACTTTACTCCTCCAGTAATAACACAGTGTTTCTAGTTCTGTAAGGGGCTCCAAATTTTGATCCCAATTGCACCCTTCCAGAGGATCAAATTCGATATGGTTGTCGCCATATTTAAGTATCAACTTAAACAACATAGTACAGTTCAGGAAGAAACGTAGAAACTCAAAACGGTTCGAAAAGTAAAAACTATAACAAAATACAAATATTAACATCCCAGAATGCGATTAAACAGACCACCTAAATGTGGAACAGAGAGCCTCAATAAGAACATGTCACAAATGTATACATGGAGGGATTTTCCTAAACAGTGCCTTCCAAAATGGATTCTAAAGTCCTATGTGCACGATTTAGCAGTTTAGTCCATCGTAAGAATTCCGTATGAAGTTGAATATCTAAGTGAAATGCAAGGAAGGAGAAGTAATCAGCAACACTGAAGAACAGCGAAACAGGTAAGTAGAGCAATTTAAGCAACTTTTGAATCAACCAACTCTACTGAACCCACCCAACATCGAAGCAGCATCTACGGAACTTCTAATCGATGATGGTCAACCAACAATTGAAGAGATTAACCTAGTCAGACAAATCTACAGCAGTAAAGCAGTGGGACCATACAACGTTCCAGCAGAAGCTATGAAAACAGAGGTGGCAGCAACTGCAAAAATACGACACATTCTCTTTAATTAGATTTGGGAAGAAGAACGAGTACCAACAAACTGGAAAGAAGGACATTTCATCAAGATAACAAGGTAAGATGTCAGCAAGTGTGAGAGCTACAGAGGCATCACTCTTCTCTCAATACCAGAATGAAAGACCTAGTAGACGCCAAACGTCGAGATCAACAGGCTGGATCTTGTTAGCATCGGTCGTGTACCGATCAAATTAAGGATCATTGTGGAACAATCAGTTGAATGAAACTCTCAGCTCTACATCAACTTCATCGACTACGAGAAAGCATTCGACTGCATGAACAGGACTATATAGGCTTCTTTGACATTATGGTGTCCTTTTTATCCTGAATGAAGCATAGGTCACCGACAAGTATCCACCAGCCTACTCAGTCCTGGACCTGCCTTTCGAGTCCCATCCAATTTTTGTTTATTACTCCTATGTCTGCATCCTTTTTTTGACGTAATGTGGGCCAACATTGATTGGGAGGTCCGTGGATGATGCTTCGATTTTGGATGGGTTCATTGGAACTGGCTGATTCAAGAGTTCCTTAAACTGCTCCACCCATCTGCTTCGCTATTCTTTAATGTTGGTGATTACTTTGCTTTTCTTGTTCTACACGCGTTTTTTACGCTATATTTTCCAGCGGACTTCTCCATTGCATCGTATAGTTGTCTCATGTTCCTCTTTCTTGCGGTCTTTTTCATTATCACTACTAGATTCTCCACATATTTATGTTTTTCAGATCTGGTGCTCATCTTCACTTGCTTGTTTGCTTCTGTGAATTCAGCTTCTGCCTTGGTTTTCTCTGCTCCTATTCGGCTGATATTTGATTGTTGCCTTCTTCTTCCTTTCTCAAACCTTATCCAGATTACCTGCAGAGATGCATTCCTTGTGATGGTACTTTTGTGGCTCAGAACCTCATGACGTTTTGAAGTGATTGCCTCCTTGGCCTCTTTCCGGTTGTTCTCCATGGTAGTCTCCTTTCCATTTAGTTGATCATGAAAGGCTTGGAACCTATTACTGAGATCTATCTTGAATTTTGTGAGTTTGTCAATATCCTGAAAATGGCCGTATTAAGCTTTCGTGATGTTTTTCTAGCAGTCGTCCAATTTCAATTCCATCCTAGCGATCAGGAAGTGATTATCTGAAGCTATATCAGCTCTCCAACTGATTCTCAAGTCCCCCATCGTCCTTATGAACATTTTATTGATACAGATGTAGTCAATTTGGTTCCGCGTAGTCCGATAAGGTGAAATCCGTTAGGCTTCGTTTATGCGTTTATGTATGGATATGGTACCTCGTATGACTTGCTATAATAGCATCAGTGCAACTCCTTCATGGCCGAAGTATAACTATAGCTCTCCTGAAGTCAAAATTAGTCTCCCAGCCTGACTACAAGTACTACCAAGTTGTATTTTACTGGCCTGCGACTTGACTTCAGTTTTGACGAATGATTGAGTATGAGATGAAATAAAAATTGCTATCCATTTCCGTATAATATACTCAGGCAAACCCCGTTTGTGCGATGGCGGTAATAAGGAGTTAAGTGCGGTTTTGTGGATTAGTTTATTTGACGCATTCATTTAAGCAGACGAACATGAGAGAGAGAGAACGAGCAAAACGGGGCAATTTAGCGAAGGTGAGTGAGCCAACTCTCCAAATCTTGTAAGTACCTCTAAGACAGTTTTATCTTACATCTTCATTACGTTAATTTGGATATTTTCCTATTTTTTCTTACAAAAAACACATTCGTATATTTGTTTGCTGCGGATAGCTAATGTAGCACCTCAAAATCTATTCATCATACTAATTTTAATGATTAGTCGTTCAAATTATACGACAATTATATCGACCAGTTTCTATGTTTGTATTAATTCGATAGCTGTATCGACCATCGCATACTTGATTGTGTGTATGTATGCTTACTTGATTATTACACGCCTGACTATGAATACAAAGTAATTGAATCACTCGTCTTCGCTAAATTGCCCCGCTTCGCTTGTGCTCTTTCATTCTCATGCTTGCCTGCTTAAATGAATGCGTCAAATAAACTAATCCACAAAACCGCACTTAACTCCTTATTACCGCCATCGCACAAACGGGGTTTGCCTGAGTATATTATACGGAAATGGATAGCAATATTTATTTAATCTCATGTTTAATCATTCGTCAAAACTAGAGTCAAGTCGCCGTCCAGCAGCAACTTAAACAACTCTCCCGGTCCCCCACATTTTACAAACACTCTCTCTATAGCAATTCGTAGAGCTGTGGGGAATCGGTACCGAGTACGGCTATGGGAACATCAACGGGGATGAATTTTCCGTCCAAGTTTTGCTCCTTCCTGTTATTGAAGTACAGTATGTCGATCTATTTGCAATTCACGAACCCAAAGTAACAACAGAACAAAACTCCAAAGTTAGGTACCAAAGTTTATTTGTAATTCACAAACAGTTGACCAAAATGTCGTTCGTCAATTTACAAATAGTCGACCAATGTCGTTCTAACAACAATAATTATAATAACTATGTAATTGGATTTTCTACCGTAGCAGTTCAATTCGATTCCAATAGACGTATGTTATACGCACCCTCCGTTGTTCGAATATCAAAACACAATAATTCTAGGAGAAAGTGGTCTATTAATAGAGAATAAATGGAAATACAAACGTTACCTAACGAATTTTACGTCTTCCAATTCAAAATTACTCTGAATGAGTATCAAGGTTCCGGAGACTAGGTGAACTCGTATACCGCAACGATATCAAATCCAAAAATGTGGCTGTAGCCATATTATATCAAATTTAAACAACATATTGTGGTGTTTGAATGAACTAGTAACTTCTTGTTGTTGTTGAATGCTTGATTTCGAATTCTAAATACAATACATTCGTTTGTGCATATCTTTAATTCTTGATACATATACTTCTAATTACTACACATATGTACAGTTCAGAAGCAAACATAAAAACTTCAATATAAGTACAAAATATAGAAAGAATAACAATATACAATGGTAAAATCTCAAATTGGAATCAAATAAAATACCAAAATG